AGGCGGGTACTTAGGGGCCACGATCTGGTCACTGTCTGCTCCCAGTCCATCCCCACCATCAGGGGCCCAGGTGAACAAGCAGACTGGGACTTAGACTCCACGCTCTGGGGAATCCTGTCCTGTGGATTGCTAGAGGTACCGCCAGGCGGTGTCTGACACTAGCAATTTGGGATATGATACAACAGCCCAGTCTGTTTATAATTCCCCCTTTCTCTAACTCATGCAAATTACATTAGTGTCATGGAATATAAAAAGTCTCTACTCTAAAATCAAACACTCACTGGTTTCCACCCACTTAAAGAAAACAGGGGCCCAAATAATTTTCTTACAAGAGACCCATTTAGTCAGATCCAAAGTGATGACCCTTAAATGCCCACATAGCAGGTGACTTTAATGCTGTTGTGAATCCTTCTGTGGATAGGTTGCAGGGTTCCCATGCCTCTTCCTCAGCCCTTTGGGACTGGGCAGACAGTTATGGGTGGGTTGATGTTTGGCACTGGATGCATCCTGATCAGAAAAGTTACTCTTGTCACTCTGAGTCCTATGGAACCCTTTCTAGACTTGATATGGTTTTTACTACTACTGCCTACCTCCTACAACTGCTTACCTCCAACATATAACAATATGTTACCTACCTAGAACTATCTCGGATCATTCCCCATTGGAGGATCAGCTCCGGATGGCGGATACTTCAGAGCTGTGCAAATGGAGGATGAGTCCTTTTTGGCTCTCGGACCCTATGGTCCTTTACAAATGCTGTGATGATATGAGCAATTATTGGCAGGAGGCTGATCTGACAACACCCTTGGGCCTCCAATGGGATGCTTTAACCACTTCCAGACCGGACACTTTTACCCCCTTCCTGACCAGGGCAATTTTCAGCTTTCAGCGCTACACACTTTGAATGACAATTGCGCGGTCATGCCACACTGTACCCAAATGAATTTTTTACCATTTTTTTGAGACAGATAAAGCTTTATTTTGGTGGTATTTATTCACTGCTGGGATTTTTATTTTTTTTGCTATGTAAATGATAAAGTCCAAAAATGTTGAAAAAAAGTGTTTTTTTTTTTTTTAATTTTGCAAATAAATAATATTTCATCATAAATCTTGGCCAAAATTTATTCCGTTATCTTTTTAGTAAAAAACAAAAATCCAAATTAGTTTATAACCAAAAATTATAATTTTTAAATATTTTTTTTTACATTTTTATTTTATTTTTTTATATTATTATTTTTTTTTTTTTTTTTTTTTTTACATACTGTCACCCTAGCAGTACAGTGTCACCATGGTGACACTGTACTACTTGTGGGGGGTGATGAAGATTTTTTTTTTTTTTTTTACACTGATTGCTTTTATACCCATATAGGATGTAAAAGCAATCATTTCTCTTTCTCTCTGTCTGCATTCTTGCAGTCATTGAGAAATACAGAGTGAGCTGTGATTGGTCACAGCTTTTCACATGGTACAAGGCTGTTGTGAATAGCCCTGTACCATGTGATCTCTGTGATCATTCACAGAATTCACATGTAGTAAGCAATGATGTCACAAGTGACATCTTGCCTGCTACTTTGCATGTGATCACTGATTGGCCAATCAGTGATCACATGATCGGGACCTCTTACAGAGGTCCCGTCAGATGATTGGTGTTTCACTGTGTCCGGAGGACACAGTGGGCACCGGATCGCGGTGCTGCGCGCTCCCAGGGAGCGCGCACAAGCAGGGTGTGGGGAGGCCGTTTATAAACGGCCACCCGACCCTGCACTGCCACCGTCCGGCCGTTTATATACAACGGCCGGTCGGGAAGTGGTTAAGGCTGTCATGAGGGCCTCCTATATGACTGGGGTAGGGGCACTAAAGAAAGCCAACACCTCCTCTCTGACAGAGATATCCCAAAAAGTAACAGACATGGAAAATCAATATGTTGTCCATACCTCCTCTCATACCTATCTTCAATGGAAGGAGGCTCAGAGAGCTTATAATTTTTCCCTAACTGACAGGACCCAGAAGAAGTTGCTTTACCAAGAACGACATATTGATTCAGGCAATAAAAATGAGATTCTACTTGCTTTTTTGGCTAGACATGTGCATGAAGCCATTGCTATCCCCAGGATTTTGGACAGCGGTGGTACCCTTCGGACATCCACTGATCAAATTCTAAACACGTTTTTTCCAGTTTTATGAAGCCCTATATACTTCTAAGCCTCCTATGGTTCAGCTGACCTCACGGGATATCTTAGTGGCATCAGGCTTCCTACTCTTTCTGTGGAGGATAGGTTGTCTTTCGATAGTCCAATTACCCCTGAAAAAATAGATGAATTATTGCGCCTCTTTGCTAAACATAAAACTCCAGGTATGGATAACCTCCCTATTGAATGGTACTTGGCCCATAGGGAGTATCTTGCACCTCGATTAACCGCTCTTTGTACAGCCATCAGGAAGGAAGAAATTCTACCCCCGTCAATGTGTGAGGCTTTGATAGTGGTAATCCCTGAACCTCAAAGATTTGAACCTTCATATCGACCGATATCTTTAATTAATACCGACCTCAAAATTCTCTCCAAAATCCTGGCTCTACGCCGTAATGCTGTTATAGCCTCCTTGGTAAAGTCCAACTAAACAAGGTTTATTCCTGGCTGCTCTACTTACACTAATTTTTGTAGACTCTTTACAAATCTTCAGATGCTTCCTGCCACAGATTCCCGTAGGGCACTGATATTGCTTGATACTCATAAAGTGTTTGACTCTATAGAATGGCCCCTATCTATTCTTGATTCTACAAAAATGTTGTTTTGGGAAAGGGTTCCTTGGGTGGATACGTATCTTGTATAAGCAACCAAGAGCTCATATCAGGGTTAACAGTCTAATCTCTGAATCCTTTCCAATATGTCGGGGCACGAGGCAGGGGTACCCACTTTCACCTCTACTATTTGAATGCACTATAGAACCATTGGCGGAACTCCTCCAAACTTCCTCTCTGGTTAGGGGAATTCCAACTGGTACTTTTGAAAGAATGGGGTTTCACTTTATGCCAATGACATGGTTTTGTTTATCTTGGAACCTCAGACCACTGCACCGAATGTCCTTTCTTTAACTCAATAGTTTGGGCAATACTAAGGTTTTAAAGTGAACTGAACCGGATAGCGTATGTACTCTCCAGCGCCTCAGGATATGCACAGCCAAAAGGGAAGTCAAGGGTACCAGGACAGCGACAACCAAAAGGAAATGTTCCAGGGGTGCAGCCCTCCTCAGACGGGGAAATCAGCCACTGGATAGAGAGAAAACAGGTGGCGCACACACCTAGTGCATTATCCAAGGTTTATCGTAGGAATTAAATCATAAAAAACATACTCACAGACGAAGCATGTATCTAAAAAAGCATAGAAAAATGACAATGGCCACAACGGCGGGCAAGGTGTTCTCACTGTCAGTGCGGTCAAATGGCTGATGCGTTTCGGGGACGAATCCCTTTCCTCAGAGCTGATGACCAACCTCTGATGCTGATGTATGATGAATGGAAAGTAAAGTAAGAGCCTCGCTGTTGATGGTGGCATCCCACCTTGCCCGCCGTTGTGGCCATTGTCATTTTTCTATGCTTTTTAGATACATGCTTCGTCTGTGAGTATGTTTTTATCATTTAATTCCTACAATAAACCTTGGATAATGCACTAGGTGTGTGCGCCACCTGTTTTCGCTCTTTAAAGTGAACTGGTCTAAGTCCAATTTGTTCCTCATAGACAAGATCCCTCCTTTAGCTTTCCCCCCCTGGTTGCCCACTACGACTCACGTCTTAATTTCAATATCTAGGGATAGAGGTTCAACTTCCTCTGGCTAAGTTTTTTTACAATAATTTAGCGCCTTGTATCTCCTCCTTCTGTACTAAGGTCTCCCAAAGGATTATGCTTCCCTTGTCCTTACTGAACAGAGTGAACCTATTTAAGATGGTGTTTCTTCCTAAATTTTTATATATTCTGGCCAACTCACATGTCTTCATCACAAAAAAAGTTTTTCAGGAAATTGATTCCATTCTTGCATCCTTCCTATGGCACCCTAAACCTCCCAGGGTGTCCTTGACCATTTAACAGCTGCCTACTAATAAGGGGGGACTAGCCCTTTCTAAAATAGGCTTATATTAGTATGCTACTCAACTCATATATGTACACTGGTGGTTGTTTCCGCAACTAAACAATGTTGCAACTGCAACGGAGCTGCTATAGTCTCCTCCTATGAAACCCTATCCAACTTGTTATTTAGACAATCCTAACATGTTACCGAGGGTACTTCTATTCTCCATATGTCCCTCTGTATTTATAAGCAGTATTTTATTGCCTTAGCTGAAGATCCTATTTGTTCCCCTAACCAACCATTGTGGTATAATCCACGCTTACCACATTTTGCCTCGCTTACTTGTGGCTGATTATGGGCAGGATGAGGGCTAACCTATCTATACCAACTGTACAAGGAAGGCACATTCAAATCTTTTGTGCAAATGTGCCAGGAGTTACACATTCCAATGTATTGGTCCTTTTACTATGTATAACTTAGGCACGCCACAGAGGCACAACTTGACCTTCATAGTGTTCAGCTCACTAATTCAACACTTGAACAGGCCCTCCTTCATCCAGACCATATGGGGCTGATATCTTTCTATTATTCTTTGCTTATGGATAAATCTGACTCCTACCTATCAGAAATTCTGAACAAATGTTTGGGAGATATCCCTGATCTCAGCCCCAAAAACTGGCAGGAGTTGTTTAATTCACACTTGGGAACAGTGATTTCAGCTAAAGATAAGCTTATTCAGTTCCATTATCTACATAGACTGTATTAAACCCTGGCTCATTTGTTTAATATGCATAAAAGAGATACCCCTACCAGTCATAAATGTGAAAGTGAGCCTGGTGACTTTCTACATATGGTTTGGAGCTGTAGGAAGATCTTTCTGCTGCTTTTGTCATAAAACTAGTTGCCCACCCACTTCCCTCTAAAAACTCAATCTTTTAACCACCTCTCATCCGGCCGTTGTATATAAACGGCCGAATGGTGGCAGTGCAGGGTCGGGTGGCTGTTTATAAATGGCCTCCCTGCACCCTGCTTGTGCGTGTTCCCAGTGAGCGTTCAGCACCACGATCCGGTGCCCGCTGTGTCCTCCAGACACAGTGGAACACCAATCGTCGGACAGACCTCTGTACGAGGTCCTGATCATGTGATCACTGATTGGCCAATCAGTGATCACATGCAGAGTAGTAAGCAAGATGTCACTTGTGAAATCTGTGAATGATCACAGAGGTCACATGGTACAAGGTTATTCACAACAGCCTTGTACCATGTGACAAGCTGTGACCAATCACAGCTCACTCAGTAGTTTTCAACGGCTGCAAGAATGCAGCCAGAGAGAAGGAGAAATGATTGCTTTTACATTCTTTATGGGTGTAAAAAAAAAAAAAAAAATCTTCATCACCCCCACAAGTAGTACAGTGTCACCATGGTGACACTGTACTGCTAGGGTGACAGTATGTAAAAAAATAATAATAAATAAATAATAATATAAAAAAAAAAAAAAAATGTAAAAAAAAATGTTTAAAAATTATACTTTTTGGTTAGAAACTAATTTGGGTTATTTTTTTTTTACTAAAAATATAACGGAATAAATTTTGGCCAAGATTTATGATGAAATACTATTTATTTGCAAAATTTTATAAGAAACACTTTTTTCCAAAATTTTTGGACTTTAATTTACATAGCAAAAAAATATAAATCCCAGTGGTGAATAAATACCACCAAAATAAATCTTTATCTGTCTCAAAAAAATGCTAAAAAAGTCATATGAGTACAGTGTTGCATGACCGCGCAATTGTCATTTAAAGTGTGGTAGCACTGAAAGCTGAAAATTGGCCTGGACAGGAAGGAAGTAAAAGTGTCCAGACTGGAAGTGGTTAAGCTTCAAGACTTTGCTCTTTCCTGGTAACCCTATTACTTATCGAAGCGCTCCTTCAGTGTCACCTGCAAATCTACCTCCTCCTCTCCTATTCCATTTCTATAGGGGTCTCCCAAGGCTCTGTCTTTAGGACCTCTTCTATTCTCGATCTACACATCTTCCCTTGGTCAGTTAATAACAGGGGCGGACTAACCATTTGAAAACTCAGGCACTGCCGAGGGCCCGGGGTCAGTAGGGGGCCCCATGAGATCCCCCTGGTACCTTTTTCATAGGCTTTTTTGAGTTTGGGCAAGGACACAGGGGCCCCATGATCCCCTATTGCCCAGGGGCCCCATGAGTTGTCAGTCCACCTCTGGTTAATAGCATCACATGGATTACAATATCATCTTTATGCTGATGACTCTCAAATCTATCTCCTACTCCTCAGTTCAGTTCCTCAGTTTTATTGGGTATCACTAATTTACTGACGTAACAGTATATATGTCAAACCACCTCTTAAAACTCAATCCTTCAAAAACAGAGCTCATAATATTTCTTCTCCCCATGTCCCCTTTTGCAGACTTTTCCATTGAGATTATTAGTACAACTATCTTTTCCTATCCTCATACCGGGGTGCTAGCTTGATGTAATCCTGGAGTCTGTCCTGTCATTTCAGCCCCACATCCAATCACTTTCCAAATCTATCTACCTTCACCTCCATAACATTTCCAAAATATGCCCTTTAACCAATGACACCACCAAGCAAGTTATTTACTCACTTGTTATCTCTCACCATCACTATTGCAATGTCTTCCTCACTGGCCTTCCTCTACCCAAGCTATTCCCCTTTTTAGTCTATTATGAATGCCACTTCCAGATTCATCCACCTTACCAACTGCTCAGTGTTTTCCACCCCTCTGTTTCCAACTCCTCCACTGGCTTCCATTCACCCAACAAACAAAATTCAAAATATTAACAACAACTTACAAAGCCATCCACATCTATCCTCTTTGCCCTTCCCTAGACCTCCTGCAGTCTAGCTCGCACATTGCCTCCTCCCATGCTAGCTTCCAGAACGTCTCCAAAGATTCTTCATCCTCGGGAATGCCCTACCCAATCAGTCCAGCTATCTCCCATTCTGACCACCCTTATGAGATCACTGAAAAGTATTCCCTTCAGGGAAGCTTATCCCACCTCTAACAACTGGTATTTACTTTCTTGAACACCTCATCCCAACATAGTTACTATCTGTTGTACCACTTGCACTACCCTATAGATTGTAAGATCTTATGAGCAGGGCCATCCTTACCCTCTTGTCTTGAATTTTATTGTCTCCTTTTATTTTGTAGGGTACTGCAAAACTGTTCAATCCTGTATTACATTAATAATATCAGGAATGCTCAGGAGTGTTTTAAAGTCTGTTGCTACTGGATTTTCATTATAACATCAATGATTTCAAGCAAAAACACAAATCCATCAAATGGAGGGACAAAGCAGAGTGCATGGAGTAATATAGTCATCCCATACGTACAGTGGGGATCGAAAGTTTGGGCACCCCAGCTAAAAATTTGTATTAATGTGCATAAAGAAGCCAAGGAAAGATGGAAAAATCTCCAAAAAGCATCAAATTACAGATTAGACATTCTTATATTATGTCAACAAAAGTTAGATTTTATTTCCATTATTTACACTTTCAAAATAACAGAAAACAAAAAAATGGCGGCATCTGCAAAAGTTTGGGCACCCTGCAGAATTTATAGCATGCACTGCCCCCTTTGCCAAGCTGAGTCCTGCCAGTGTCATGGATTGTTCTCAATCATCATCTGGGAAGACCAGGTGATGTCAATCTCAAACGTTTTAAATGCCCAGACTCATCTGACCTTGCCCCAACAATCAGCACCATGGGTTCTTCTAAGCAGTTTTCTAGAAAACTGAAACTAAAAATAGTTGACGCTCACAAAGCTGGAGAAGGCTATAAGAAGATAGCAAAGCGTTTTCAGATGTCAATATCCTCTGTTCGGAATGTCATTAAGAAATGGCAGTCATCAGGAACAGTGGAATTTAAAGCACGATCTGGAAGACCAAGAAAAATATCTGACAGAACAGCTCGCAGGATTGTGAGAAAAACAATTCAAAACCCACGTTTGACTGCACGATCCCTCCAGAAAGATCTGGCAGGCACTGGAGTTGTGGAACACTATTCCACTATAAAGAGATACTTGTACAAATATATTCTTCATGGAAGAGTCATCAGAAGAAAACCTCTTCTACGTCCTCACCACAAAAATCATCGTTTGAACTTTGCAAATGAACATATAGACAAGCCTGATGCATTTTGGAAACAAGTTCTGTGGACCGATGAGGTTAAAATTGAACTTTTTGGCTGGAATGAGCAAAGGTACGTTTGGAGAAGAAGGGGCACAGAATTTAATGAAAAGAACCTCTGTCCAACTGTTAAGCATAGGGTTGGATCAATCATGCTTTGGGGTTGTGTTGCAGCCAGTGGCACAGGGAACATCTCACGAGTAGAAGGAAAAATGGATTCAATAAAATTTCAGCAAATTTTGGATGGTAACTTGATGCCAGCTGTGAAAAAGCTGAAGTTAAAGAGAGGATGGCTTCTACAAATGGATAATGATCCTAAACACACCTCGAAATCCACGGGGGATTACATCAAGAGGCGTAAACTGAAGGTTTTGCCATGGCCTTCACAATCTCCTGACCTCAACATAATTGAAAATCTATGGATAGACCTTAGAAGAGCAGTGCGTGACAGACAGCCCAGAAATCTCAAAGAACTGGAAGACTTTTGTAAGGAAGAATGGGCAAAGATACCTCAAACAAGAATTGAAAGACTCTTGGCTGGCTACAAAAAGCGTTTACAAGCTGTGATACTTGCCAAAGGGGGCAGTACAAGATATTAACTCTGCAGGGTGCCCAAACTTTTGCAAATGCCATTTTTTTGTTTTCTGTTATTTTGAAAGTGTAAATGATGGAAATAAAATCTAACTTTTGTTGACATATTATAAGAATGTCTAATCTGTAATTTGATGCCTTTTGGAGATTTTTCCATCTTTCCTTGGCTCCTTTATGCACATTAATACAAATTTTTAGCTGGGGTGCCCAAACTTATAATCCCCACTGTAGCTGGAGTGTCAGAAAATCTCAGAAGGATTTATAACAAGCACCACTTCCCTGTGTCAGGCCCAGAAATATACTTAGACAGACACTTGTTCATCTAGAAGACCCAATACCCAAACACAAGAGACGTAGCTTGGTCTATGCAGTGCAGTTTAGTAAGGAATACAACATGCATTGTACAATGAGAAAACAAAGCAGCCTCTCAACAAATGATTGGCATAATATACAAAGTCAAATTCTATGGGTCAGGATGCAGTGACACCTTAAGGAAAAGGGACATTCTTTTGAGGGTGGTGGGGTGCAAATTTTGCACAGGGAGGACAACTGGCCCACATGTGGGATGAAAGAGACCATCTCAGTCAAAATAAAACAAACAAGAAGAGGGGAAGAGGGTTAAATATCATCATATAATGCATCAATAACAATTCACACCTTCAGTCATGTAAATTTAATGTTTAACACCTTTGCAGACTTCCTAACAACAAGAGATGAGATTACTTAACAACTTGTATAACAGGGTGGTTCCACAACTTTCACACCTCACATCCTGTTCTTGGACAATCAAAATTTGCTTTTCTACATTTCATGGTGATTGGATTAACAACTTGCCAACCACGCTATAGCCAAATGATGGCTACAGCACGGCTGTCCAGTTCTGGGAGGGCGCCATATGACGTCCTTCCAGAACTCGCCCTCCCGTGCGCCCCTGCGATTTCCGTGATAACTGTTTCCTATGGACACAGCTGATCACGTGATGTAGTAAAAGACCAATCACAGCGGCCTTTTACCACATGATCAGCCATGATACACAGCAGATCACCAGTAAATGCAGTTCCCGGTTATCGGCTGCACTTTTTTCATGCTGTCACAGCATGAGAAAAGTACTACCAATAACCGGCAATTGTCAGAGGACAGATTGGCACCGATCATCAGGGCACTGATGATCAGTGCCCAGAAGTGCCACCCACCTGTGCCCAGCAGTGCCACCCACAAGTACCCACCAGTGCCCAGCAGTGCCCTCATCAGTTCCACCCATCAGTGCTGCCCAGCAGCACCACCCATCAGTGTCCAGCAGTGCCGTCAGTCAGTGTCGCCAGTCAGTGTCCATTAGTGCCACCTATCAGTGCCCTCATGGTTGCATATCAGTGCAGCAGCATCAGTGCCGCCTCATCAGTGCCAGCTCATCAGTGCCACCTATCAGTGCCCATCAGTGCTGCCTATCAGTGCCCATCAGTGCTGCCTATCAGTGCAGCCTCATCAACGCACATCAGTGAAGGAGAAAAAGTACCTGTTTGCAAAATTTTAT